ATGGTAGAATATTCTAGGGAATCTCCCCTAAAAATGTCACATGTCAATATTCTCTAGAATAATCCCAAGATACCTATAAATAGGGCATTTGGGGATTGGATTAAGAATAGAAGTGCACAACTGTCAAGAAGGAATAGAGAGTAAAAGAAGAAGAAAGGAAGAGCACCTTATCAAAGGAGAAAAGAAATTGTGAGAGAGAGAGGAAAGGCATCGATAACATCTCATTTCGGGTAACAAGCAACACTCAAAAAACATATCATTTGGACTTGAGGCGAGTGGTTTGGCATGCTACGTATTTTGGAAAATTTTCGTATCCCCAAATTTTTTAAAAACAATATATCATACTGGTTCATTACTACATTTACAAAATATTTTAATAAGTGTCTAAATACTTGGGGCATACAATTCTCCTTATTTTGATGAATTCTTTTGTGAAGTATTGTGACTCAATCACTTGTTTATATGGTGAGACTTAGTGATGGTGAATGAGACCAAAATTAAAAGTCCAAGGAAATTATTCCTCTGTATGCGGGTGACCCTAGCCACTAGGAAACAGACCCTGGAGAGGCTGAGGTGACCCTAGTGCTCAACGGTTGAAAGAACAATGCCTAGTGCATCCTGGTGACCTTCACCGGATCGTCTTTGGGAACAGTTCCCGAGCGGCAACCCGTGATAACCCTAAGTACCAGTGTTATTTAAGGCGTAAAGCGAACCGAAGCGACCAAGGCTCCTAACGCCTAGGCGAGAAGCGAAGCGACACGCTTTACCGAAGCAAAGCGAACAGTTAAAAAAAATATATATTTTAGTTTAATTACTTCTAAACAATCTAAGTTCTAATTTTATATATACTAAATATTTAAATGCAAGTAAAACCATAAACATTTAAATTAAAAAAAATACTAATAATATCTCAAATCTTAATAACAGTCATAACTTAAACATTTAAATTCAAACAAATACTAACAATTGTATACATTTTCATATTGACAGGGTAGGACAACAAAAGAAGCAGAATCAGGACAACAGCAGAATTAGCAACAAAAAAAAAAGAAGTAGAATGAGGATAAAAAAAAATAAAAGCAACACAGGACAGCAAAACCGAAGCAGCAACAGAATCAACAAAAAAAAAAATAGAAACAGAATGAGTTAAAAAAAAAACAGAAGCACAATGATCATGACAGGAGCAGAATCAATTGTAAACAATTTCATATGTAATTATATATTGAATAAAAAAAAGCAGAACAGAGGCACATTTCACATGTACTAAAATAATTAAACATGGTATAAGCATAGACCACTTTTTGGTACCATTTGTATATATATAAGAAAAGAAAAAAGTATAACCAAGACATATCAGAGACACTTCTTTGTAGAAGAATCTATTATTTACCCCCATTTCTGATACTCCTACTTCCTTTTTTTTATCATAATTGTCATGCAGTGCAGTCGCCTGACTCCCACATTCCACAAATATTCTAAATGAATTCAGCAACACAAGGAAAAAAAAGGAATGTGTTTTGTTCGAAACATTGTTTATTAAAAAAAAAAAAAAAAATAGACCAGCAATAGTCTAAAAAAAAAGTCATTAGTGATTAAAAAATAAAAGAGACTACTAACCTGTAATCAGAAAAAAAAAAAAAAAAAAAAAAAGTTGAAGTAGAATCGCTTTTTATAATAAAGCGTTCGCTTTTTCGCTTTTTCGCTTTTTTCCCTTCTTCGCTTTTTCTCGTTTTTTTCTCGCTTCGCTCACGTTCGCTTCGCCTGGGGTCCTCCAGGCGAGATAAGCTCGCCTCGCCTCGCTTCTCGCCTAGGCGAGCGCCTAGGCGAGCTTTTCAAAACACTGTTAAGTACGATGTTGGATAAAACCTTGAGATCTTCTGGCATTTGGTATGGTTCTCAGATATCGTACAAGTCCTTACCAGTATGAGATGATGATATAATTTGTTACTGTCACAACGTTTTTACTGGTTTTGTTTATGATTATCTATCGTATGTCATATGTATTTTCTTGTTATCAGTTATTGTATTTGATATTTAGTCCTCATCGATTATTGGATATCGTACAGTCTCCACCATTATGATATGATTCACTATTGTGGTATGATTTCTTGTTGGAATCCCATTTTGTTATTCTTGGTTATCTTGATGAAGTTATTTTTCCAAACCTTTGATTTTCAAGTTGTATGCCAAATATGTTTTTCAGCTACTTTGAATATGTATGTATTTCCATTCACTGGGCTTTTTAACTCATCTTTTCAAAATAATATTTTTTTTAGGTAAACGATTGGAGTGTCAATAGCGGACTCAGGGAATTGATTGGAGACTAATAGCGTTGTGACCTCCGTAACAAATATCATTTAGCCCTCTTTACTTGTTTGGATAATTGGGACAAACAGGTTTAGGTATGCTGATTTTGACATATTGACCTGAGATCAATTTAGTGTTTAATGTTATTTTCTACTCCTATATTATTAGTTTATTGTTAGGCTTACGTGTTCCATAGGTTATGGATCTATGGTTCACGGCCGATCATGCCCTTGGAGTAAGGGTGTGACAACGACATGATATATATTTTCTTGAAACTAAAAAGAATTACTAATTTTTCTTATTATATGTTAAAGAACTTCCAAAATTTATAAGTATTAAGTTGGTTGAAAATAATAAAAATATTAAATATATTTTATTATAGTCGTATCTTGACCGTACCTGTATCCTACTTTTTTAGATTTTGTTGCATCACCATAGCTATATCATATCATACCCGTATCCGTGTCCATGCTTCATAGCCTAAATTGCTATGAGAAAAGAAACACAGTGCAAAAAGTCAAACAAATGCAAAGGGCATATCAATCAACCCCCAAAGTGTAATGACTTATAAATGAGTTATTCTGACGGAAAAACAAAAACACATTTTATACTTGATGCTGAGTAGTTTAAAATAATCAGCTACGAGTTCACCAATATTTAAACATAGTATCTTTATCACCAGGAGAAACTATATTCTACTATTCTTATCCTGTGCATCTAAATTCTACAATGGGAAGAACACAATTGACATTGTGGGTTAGGTGAACAAATCCAATAGTAAAATTGAACCTAATGAATGCACAATGGGTATGGCACTACCACTTGTATTGGCTCGATACACACAATACCTTAATCACAAACTAGAAATTATCGTACACAATATGTAAAACACTACCATTTGTATTGGCTCTTTGTAAGCAGTAACCTTATTCAAAACTCAAAATTAAAAATACTCCAGGATGTTGGACTATGTTGGTTAACTAGATTATTTGATAAAATTATAACTAAGAAAATGTCAGATGAATGGAGAAAAAGTATTTTAATACTAATATATAAAAATAAAGACGACATTCTGAATAACACCAAATATCAAGATACTAAATTACCGAGTCATACAATGGAACATTGAGAAAAGTCATTAAAAACGATTAAGAGTAGAAAAAACCTTGTCTAACAATCAGTTTGGATTTATGCTTAGAATGTCAACTATGGAAGCTATGTGCTTGCTTTGGAGACTAATGTCAGATATAATGAGAAAAATGAAGATCTTTGTATGGTTTTCCAGAGATATTATATGGTAGGGTTCCAAAAGTAAAGAGTTTACAAATAGGAATGTTGATATCATAAAGGATATGTACGAGGGTACAGTGAGACTTTAAAGAGGACAAATAGTGATCATGGTAGAATTACATTAAGGTTCTCCCTCAAGCCCGTATCTTTTTTGCCTTGACTATTCATGGATTAGTAGGGCATATTCAGTATGAGATTCCATGGTGCATGGTATTTGCTAATGATATAGTATTTAAAACTAAAATAGTAATTAATAATAACGCAAAAAATTGGAGGAAATCTTTACAATCAAAAAGATTTAAGATTGATAGAGATAAAACTGAAAATACGAAATTAATTTTCATTGAAGTATAGACTTAAATAATTAGCACTTCCACAATTTAGAGTAAATTATCCACCAGGAGGGGAGATTGGACACGATATTACTATAGAATTGAAGTAAGACAAATTAAGTGGAAGAATGCATCTAGTCCATTATGTAATCAACATGTAACTCTTAAGCTAAAAGAAAAGTTCTACAAGGCGACCATTAGACCTACTTTAATCATATTGAATGTTGGGCAGCTAAAAAACAACACTTTAAAAAATCAAATGAGGCTAAAATGCAAACGCTAAGATGGATGGGAGGTAAAATAACAAGGGATAAAACTGTCAAAATAGTACCAGCGGAAGACAAATTAAGAAAGCATCAACAAAAGGCGGTTTGAATATTTTACCGAAATTAATGCAAAATGATATAGTAAAAATTGTATCATAGCTCACGGTTTAGTGACAAATATGGCCCTTGATAGACCATGATAGAGGAACAAGATTCATGTTGTCAAGCCCAAATAAGTGTAATAAGGCTTTCTTAAGCAGCGTTGAGGCCCAAGTAACATAAAGCTATCATTGCAAAAGAACTGGTAATTCAACTCTACCAAGCAACACTTCCACTTGTCATTAAAATCCTCCATAAACAATTTTAGTTGAACTCCTTTTTTGGCATGGTAAGTGGATTGCTTTAGTCAACTTATGTGATCAAGTGAAACAAATACAAAGAAATAGAATGTACCGCCCACCAAATGTATATTTGTACCATTAAAAGTAGTCATCCAGAACAGAATAAGAATGAAACAAATGGAAATGAGGATATAAGTGGAACATCTACGGATAAAGATTGGCAATTTGGCATTCACCTCAAATTTAGACTATTAGATCTAGCATAAAACTATTCCCAAAACAAAGCCCAACAAATATCAAACAATTTTACTCAATAGAAAGACAAGAATAACTCAAGCTCGCACAACACAAATTGAAACAAGTACATTTGAGCCAACAGTTACCCAATGGAAAATAATTGTATAAAAGAACATGAGTCCCAAAGAAAAAATAACAGAAAACTTTGACAAAAGAAATGAAAAGCTTTAACATGAAATTACCCTAATGAGCCTGTACTTAGGCTCATACTTCTTTGCGTTCTCAACCGAATCATAAATCAAACCAAAGCCGGTTGACTTCCCACCTCCAAAATGGGTACGAAACTTGAAAACAAATATAGAATTCGGGTCCTTGACCTCATACATTCTGCTCAACTTCTCTTTCAACTCCGCCTTCAAAACAATTGACAGAAATTATCAAAACTCTGATCAATAATACCCTCAAACAAATTTAAAATATATCATATAGCAACATAAAAAAGGAAAAAAGTAAATTACCTTGGAAACATTGGGCCTTCCTGGATGAAGAACATCAATGACCTAAACCTCACATAAGGAAACAAAAACATCAATAAAATTTTGCAGTTAACTGCTCAAAATGTGGGAAATTGAATAAAATAGCTTCTAGATCTCTTATTAAATCTCAAATCCTACCAATAATATCACTTCACATTTTTATGGAACAAAAAAGAAATTAGCAACAATGTCATTCCAAGCTTTACATTTCTATGTTTTTCTTCCCTCCATTGTTTCTGGAATCAAACAAATAATTTGAGTTGGGGTCAAGAAAAAACTCTCAGACTTTCAGCTTTCTTAAACTGAAATCAATAAAGTGATGAACAAACATAAAGCAAAATCTTGAATATTCCATTCTCTATTATTTCAAAAACAAAAATTCGGCTGATCTTCATAGGATTTTATATTCAGATAACATGAATGCAAAGCCACACAGCTCATTTAACCATCAAGAAAATGAAGAAAAACTTCAAATTTCTGTAGTTTTCAATTAATAGACATTAATCTGCACAAGTTGTATGATAATCAAGAAGCCATGGAAGGTAGGACTCCAAACACTATAGTCTCCATCGCAAAACATTAGGCTATATCCAGTTTAAATTGTTTTTCAAATGTGAAGGAGCACAACTTGTTTGGCAAACGAGAAAATGAAAGAAAACTGTAGTAGGTAAAACTTCAGATCCTATATTCTCCATCATTTGGAACTCAAACATCAAACTAAACCCAGTTAAATTTCCTGAATCCTGTCCCAATAAAACAAATGGGAAGCATCACAATTGGTAATTAGCAAAATGAAATAAATCCAAGGAAAGTATAGCCTATAATATTATATCTCCTCATCGTTTCAAATTCATATATTTAGCTGAAGAACCCACTTATAATTTCTAGTATTTAGCAAAACCAATTTATTATAGTTCTCAGTTTTTTGAAATGAAATCAACTCAAGCTACAAAATGCAAAGTATCTCATTCACTTTTCCAGCCAAACACACTGTCAGAGCAAGTAATTCAGATCAACTTTCTTCCTTGCCAAATCAAAACACATATACCCAATTATACACATATTAACTGCACCTATACACACATACACATGCATTTATGTACCCATATATGTAGATGGATAGATATAGCATTAGTGAAAGCAAGACTTACGAATTGCTTCCTAGAGAGAAGCCGGTTGGTCATGAACTTTCTGGTACGGATGGTAACTGCCTTGTCCGCCATGGCTTTGTGTGATAGAAAGTACAGCAGACGGATCACAACCACACAGGGCAATCGCCAAAGGCAGCAGCAGCAGCAGGAAAGGCAGAGGGAGAATGGACGAGAGGCAAAACCCTAAAATTTATACACGGGTTGCTTTCAACAGGTGCCCTAATTATTTGACCTGTTGAACATGGGTCGGATTCAATTCGGGTGGGTCAAAGTGGCAAAACCATGAATAACTAGCGTGTTCAAATTTTTAATTACCCGTAAATTTCGATTTTATTCTACCCACATATATATATATATATGTTAATCTCTATAAATTAAAATTCAAAAATTTTGAAATACTAATGTTGTATTGATGTTTATTGTTTTTTTATATATGATGTATTGATGTTTTTGAATTTCTTGTTATGTTTTATCGTAATTATTTATGTATTATCAAATTTATTTTGTTTTCTTTACTATTATTGGTTTATTGTTTAGTTAATTTATGCAGGTTAATTAAATTGTTAAAATGATTCAAAAATTAATAACTAAAAAGTATAAGTTCACTTGACTTCCTACCCGATTGTTTGGACGAAATTCGGGTAATAGTACACTTAATCAGGTAGGATAGGTTGAGAAAAAATTTTTTTGCAAAGTATCAAATAGGAAGATAAAATACCATAATTCTTACCCGTGGTCGTAGGTTAGAGTGAACACTCATATGAATAACCATGAATATTTCAAGTTTTCAGCCTTGTTGCCCAAGGGTCGGGTTGCACTCGGGTGTGGCACAGTGGCCCAACCCCGGTAATGTTTCATGTTTGTCCGCGGTTAATCGCATTTTTCCCCTTGAAAGATGTTCAATTTTTTTTATTTGCATCCTAAAATTTTTTAATTATCACATTACACCCTCAATGTAATGAAAAGACTGCAATATAATCTAGATACAAACTATTGTTCACTATTCCATGACAATGGGTGGCGCAATCACATTGCAGTTTATGTATAACATTGAAGTTGCATTGCAGGAATTGAAAACTTCTGAGGAGTAAATTAAAAACTTGAGCATTATGATTGAAAAATGAGATTAACTCTTTTTTTCCTTGATTGAGTTTACAAATTCACCTAATAAGATCAGTTGTTGAATCACCTCCAATTCTCTTGGGCAACATTTAAATAACTGTAAGGCCTTGTTTGAATGATGGTATTCTTAAGTGGGAATGAATTTCTTATTTCTAGATTCAATACCCAACGCCAAGGGTGTGATTTTGATTCCCAACATGATAGGAATCCTAAAATAGGAAGGTTACCCTAATTTTCTTCACCACATCCCTTATTTACCATTTGGCACCTCTTCTCAGACCCCTCTCCCTCTGTTTCTCTCTCTTTCTCTCTCTCTCTCTCTCTCTCTCTCAGCAGAACCATTCTCCTCCTTCCATTCTCAATCTGCAACTTGGTTGGAGGCATTCTCTATTATGGAATGTGTGTTGGTAACCATAATTTTCTCCACCACATTCCTTATTTACCATTTTGCACTCTTCTTCTCAAACCCCTCTCTCTCTTTCTCTCTCAACATAACCATTCTCCTCCCTCCATTCTCAATCTGCAACTTGGTCGGAGGCATTCTCTATTATGGAATGTGTGTTTTGGGAGAGTTTATTATTTTTTTCATGCATTGTTTTTATGAATGAACATACTACAAATTAGCAATGAATATGAGCCTTTTTTGTTCTTTGAGAATATCGCTTGTTGCTTATGATTATATGATGACTTGTACCATTTTATTTTTTCATGATGAGTGCTAATGATCATGGTTGTGTATATTAAAAGATACTGGGATTAAAAATAAACTTTAAAAGTTGAATTTTTTGACATGGTAAAAAAAATAATTAATATGAAGTGATAATATATAAGCATTATGAAAGGGTATTATTGGAAAATATATTGTATTCACATATGCATTTCCATATTAGTTTGGTAGAAACCATAGATAATATTGGGAATAGTTATTGATTCTCATAGAAGATTACTGGCCACAATCAAATACTCAATATAGGATTTTATTGGCATTTGAAATCCGAGCATCTCTTTCCCGATTAAAATTATTGTCATTCAAACAAAGTCTAATCCTTATTGACAATGGACATCTCATTCCCAGTTAAGGGATGCGCGGTATGAGATACCATTGTAATCTTATATTGAGTAAGAGTGATTGGTTGGCGTCAATAATCTTGTATATGAGTCAGTTTGCATTCCCAAAAATGTGTTTGGTTTCTACCCAAATTAATTTAGAATGACATCCAAAATTCATTGCCCTTTTAGAAACTCAGTCTTTTTCATTCCAACTTAATGTTTTTCTATCAAAATCGACAGGTAAAGTATATTGTTAAACCTATTTTTTTTGGTATATATAAACCTTATTATTACTCATCATCAGAATTAAAAATAGTAGACATCAAACCTAATTACAACCATTGAACCAAATGAATGGAGCAACAATTAGCCATTAATAGGCAACAACTTGTTGCAAAAGACAAACACGTATGTATTCCAACACAAATTCTAGTGTATCTATCATCAATTCTGATGGTGTAAATGGATGTGGATGAGCAGAATGCTTGGCAATTTGGGTCTGAGCTTCTAGGCTCGTGAGGACCGTGATTGAGAATTCCAGCAATTTGGGGGGGGGAATTTACACAGTGAAAATATAGTGGTTCACCAGCTTGGGAGCTCGGCTAATCCACTCTTCAATGGAGACTTTTGCTCTTTTTTTTTTTTATTAAAAGGAGGATGGAACCTATATTATGCTTCTATTTCTATTTGGGTTTCTTGCCCTATCTTGGAGGCATTTTACAGTATTTAGAGAGCTGTTCCTTGATCTGTGGGATCGCTGTCGAGATCCTAGTCTTTTATCCGTGGATTACTCATTGACTTTTGGAGAATATCTTAGTTGGTTGAAGGTTTGCGCCTTGGATATGGCTCTCGTCTACTTATAGGGTTTCAGCTAACATCCAGTTGTTCCCTTATCATTTTCGTTATTATCTCATTTGGGGAAGAGCTCGGGTTCCGATTCTCTGAGCTCTGCGTATCTTGCCTGACCTCCTTGTCTAACCTCCGCGACTGAGCTCATGCTTTGGAAATTATTCTATGTATCATCAGTTGCCCCCCAGTTCTTGATCAAGCTGGCTTGGGCAAGGGCTGAGCTAAAGCTTACCTAAGGTAGATCTTCACACCCGGACCTCAATTTACGCACGAACGGGTTTTTAATGGTTACTAGTAATCATGTCACTCCTCGTTTCTCACACACGTTGCCCACTTCGAAAACCCCCTACACCATTATCTTTAAATGTCCTTGAATCAACTATTCCCTTTTCAAATTCTTTCTAGCTCTTCTTCTTCATTTCTTCGCGACTTCATCTTCCCCAATCTGCTATCGTTCTTAGGGTTTCATAGAAAATCGATTTCCTTTGAATCAGCTCATGGCTTCAACGAAGTTCGCTCATCGCCTTCAATTCAAGCTTTGGCCCACTGTTCATCCTCACCTAGGTACGCTTCTTGTCTTTAATTCATCTCCTCGTTCTGGATCCCTCAAGCCTGAGGTGGTTTCTATATTTTTGGACTTTTCGATTCTGTTATTTTAGGAACCGAGGTCGATCTCTGTCTCGTATTCCCCACTCCCTAGATTCTTATTCTACTTCTAGGGTTTTTCTTATTGGCAGTTGCTGTGTTGCCCCCCAGACTCTTAGAGAGTGTTTTACAAATATTCCTGTCCTTTATCATACCTTTAAACTCCCTTTTTCTTGTCCAACCATGTCTACTCCTTCTGGAGCTACACCCTCCTCGGTCTCCCTCCTGGGGAAGAAATCTGCTGAGGAAGACATTGATTTAGGCGATGTGGGTGAGGAAATTGACAGTTTTCCTGGCGTTGACTCTATCTATGCTGAGGCAAATACTGGGGAACCTCCCTCAACGTCCTCACCTGTGCCCACAAATCCTAACAAAGGTAAAAGCAAGGTGAGTGGCATGGGGGTCTCAGCCGAGGGCGTTGGGGCTGCCTTCAGAAACGCAGAGCTTATGGGCCCCAGTGAGGTCACCCCTTCTCTCAGGAAGGTTCTCAGTGCTTGCTTTCGTTTTCCTCCAGGGGTCTAGTACTGGTGTCCAAACAAATTCACCCCATATATTTCTCAGGTTCATAAAAAGGTTTGCTTCTTTGTATTTGCCTTTGATAATGGTTTGTGTTTTCCCTTACACCCCTTCATTAAGAGTGTTTTGCAACATTTCAACATTTGTCTTGCCCAGTTCTCTCCTAACATCTAGGATGTGCTGGTGGGTCTCCTCGTCTTCTTTAAGAGTCATAAGCTTGGGGTTCCTACTGTTTCTTTACTCATGAAACTTTTCAATGTTAAGCATACTTCCTCTGAGGGTTTTTTGTATATCTCCAAACGAACAAAGGCCAAACAGATTATCTCTGACCTCCTAAGCTCCCACAAGGGCTGGAAGAAACTTTTCTTCTACGTAGGGAGCGAAAAATGGGAGTACAATCCGACAAATAAGACAGACACTCTTCCAATCCCTAGAGCCTGGTCTGCCCCTGATAACCTAGGTAAGTTATTGCTCAAGCTGGCTTAGGTTGGATTTGGTGACCCTTACTGATTTTGCTTTGCTTTTCATCGCTACTCAGGTGTTCGACCTGAGCTCAGTGTTGAGGACGAGCGGGTGCTGCTGAAATTGGAGAAGTGTGACTCAGAGAAATATTCTGAGCTCATCAAGACTTGGATTTTGGTTTAGTAGGGGTTCAGCCTTCCAAAGGTTACGATAGAGGCCCCGATCCCAATCTCCATTGTTAGAGCTGAGGAAGTAGCAGGTGATGCTTTCTCTATCAATTCCCTCGTTTTTATTTCTCCCTTTTCTTCTTTTCTCTTCCCTTTTTTTTATTTTTATTTTTAGCTCACTTTAAGTCTTCTAGGTTCTTCCTCGATGGATCCCACTTCAACAGAGCTCCAAGCCAAAGTTTCCCAATTAAGGAAGACCAG